CAGTTAGAGAGCGACGAGGGACGGGGATCGTCGACCCAGACGACGATAGTCACCGTGTGATCCCTATCCTGAAACCTTAAGCTAGGTGATAATTAGCTTCGCTTCTCATTGCTCGGTCTGAGTGAACTGATTTAATGAGGAAGAAAATCGAATAGGATTTAGTAAAAGGAGAACAATTCGAGTTGGAGAAAACGAAAAATAATTGTAATCAACATCCGCTAGTCAGTGGGAGTGGAATCGCACGCAAACACATTGAGCAGCCCCGTTCCTCAATTTCTTTTTCTCCCACTCATACAAGGCAACTCTATTTTGTTAGATTTTAATCTTACAATCTTAAAAAGGAATCATGCACCCCTATGACAAGTCGAGCTATTTCATTGAAAGCTGTTGCATTTGTGTATGTGCATATAAATACATATGTGCGTGTCGGTGTGTGTTTCGGTGTATGTGTATGTCGTTGTATGCGTATGTGTGTATGAGTCCTTGTGTATGCGTTGGTGTGTCGAAGTATTTCATTGTGTGTGTGTGTGTGTGTGTCTGTGTGTGTGTGTGTGTGTGTGTGTGTGTTGGCATATGTGTCGCTGTGTGCGTCAGCATGTGTATCTGCGTGTTGGTGTGTCGGTGTGTGTGGGTGTGTAGAAGACTTTGGTTACGTGTAAGCGGTTGGGTGGGCTTTTTGCAACTTAGAAAAATTGTGGATCTCTTTGTTGAACAAATGAAACAGATGCTTCCGTGAGGATACATAATTATTCTAACAACCATGATTGCGGGTAGCCCGCACCAAGCCCTCCCTCTCAAGTCCTGCCCCCGAGGAGCGGGGGTGACCGCGGGTTCTGGCCTATGCTAGAACAAAGTCAAGAAGTGAATTAGGAGTTTGCAAATCCCGTATAACCCGGACCACTTTTGAGGTACCCACTTCTCAGCTATTCGAATGCGAGCTTCAATTTCAAGCCCAGCCGATGTGCGTGAGCTAAATGCACACAAGCAAATTCAAACACGCATGGAAACCCTTAAAGGAGATCAAGAATAAACCAATTCATAACATCGGAAATAGGGTAATCCATCTTCTTCCCTCTTTGATGTGTCTGACTAGTAAATGGCAGGTGAAAATGTAGTTGGGGGTGCGCCCTACGGACTACTTGNCTGCCCTCGTCTGGCGCACTCCCGTTTGATGTGGCCTTTGCGTGTTGTGCTCGCCTGTCCAATGGGGCCCCCACCACCACCGCCGTAGGCTCACCCGGGGTGATTTTCTCTGGGCTCTAGCCTCTTGCTTTAAAGATGCAGAGAAAGTTCAAGTAGTCACGTAACCTGGGGGTGCCAGCGCCCTTTTGTGCTATGCGTCTCTGACACTAGTTGGCAGAGTGTCGAGTACAGAGATGATATCTCCCCCTTCTCAAGTTAGGGAAGGAGCTCCAGGGTGGGAGAGATGATTATCTCGTGCAAAAAGCTGGGATGGGGTAAGAATTGAACGCCCAATTGGTTCACCCACCACAAAGCTCCTTCCCTAACTTTTAGAAGGGGAAGAACTCCGGGATGGGTGAGATGATTAGATGTGGTAAGAATTGAAAAGACGCGGATCACAAAAGAGCTGGGCATTCCTTCCCTCTCCCCCTCCCCCAACTACATTTCCATCAATGGAGGGCTCCGACTCGTCCTTTACCTCCTATCCGCGATTTGGAGTGGAACTACTTGCTTACTACCTTTCGGCAAGACGTCTTGCGAGTAGAGCGCTCTTAGCGAAGGGGATCAGTGGATAGGCATTTGTTTAAATATCGCGTTTCGATGAGGATGTCCAGAAAGACTGCTTAACGCTTAAGAATTTGCTTAGAAACTCAAAGCTTCGATTAACAGACTCAGCCCTACAAAAGTTGCTCGTGGGATAAAGTGGGCTGAGTGCACCCGCAGCAATAGCACCCTCTTTTTCGGCATCACTTTACCTCGTGCTTGTTGATTTTTGTGTTTATTTGTGAGCAGCTTTTTCTAAGTGAGAGTTCTTACTATAGCATTCGGATTTTTCTGCTCCGTTCAAATCCCATTTACAGATCTCTAGTCAGCAGTACAACTATACGTCGCTTCGGTTTACATGGCAGTTCGGTCCAATACTTCCCGGCGATCGTTGTCTGCATTAGCAACATGTACATCACTATCACAAGCCATCAACAGCATAGATAATAGCAAGCCAGCTGTTGTCCTCGATCTTGGCAGAAGACTCACAAAGTATGGTTCAAATTAACAGTTGCTTTACTCATCTCTCTTGTTAATGTTGTCAGTGCTTGTTTTATGCGACCCTGTTGTTGTTGTTGCTTATTACTGTGGGCTGTAGAACGGGGCAGGAAGGTTTGGAAAAGGAGCGACGTGGTGAAATGAGCACGTTTGCTGAGCATAACTTTTTACAACCAATCGATCGTTTCTCCTTAGAAATGAGTTTTGCACCGGTAAGCAAAAGATGTCTAATGCAGTAATCGATGCAGAAGCTCAGCCTTTCGCTACTGAGCGCAGATAGAAATGGAGCTCAGCTTTTAAGGGCGTACTATGTCAGTCGAATTTCCCAAAATCCCGATTAACTGGTGGTTTCTCCATGAAATAGCTTCAAGTGCTCGTTTTTCTTCTCTATTTCTCGTGAATATTACTACATTGAGGGAGGAGGTGATGTAGTGGCAAGTGACGCACTAGCTCACACGCATGGTGAGCGGTTCGAGTCCCCATACGCACTCCTTACGCCACTATGATACTGAATGGAAGTCGGCTGCAGGGGAGGGGGAGACCGCTCAGACGAGATTGATTAACGCCAAAAACTTTATCGTTTTACTATACTTTATTACTACTATAATTGATTATAGGCTTCAACTGATTGCTCAATAGATTCTATTTGCACTACTTTGCTTTTCATTGACTTCTTTTTCGCTTGATACAACCAGCCAACGGCGGCGCTTGTCACCACGTGGCAAGCACCGCCGTTGGGTAACGACGTTGAACTCTGAAAGCAGTCACTGGGCATCCCACTTGGAGTAGCGCCTTCCTTAGCTACTGGATCGAAATTGTTTAAATGAGAGTGGCTCCCACCCTTTTTTGGATGGCTGCTCTTTTTCAGAGTCGGCTATGCTGGAGAGTTTGTGCCAAGGGCCATCATTCATTCACAGTTTCTTCACGAATCAATTTATGAGTGCGGCGACACTGCGTGTGACCGTCCTCAAGCTTCGCGGCCAACTTTGAACCGTATGGTCAAGTTCTTCCGCAACATTTTCAATAGGTACTTTTTTGCAACTTTTCTTGAATATTCTGCTGTCCAAGTAGATAATATTTCAGTTATCTTTTGACTATGCCTCGTGAACGAAGAGTGGTGATTGTTGAGAGCCTGCTTACCCCTACACAGTTTAGAGAGACTGTATGTGAGGTGAGAACAGGTCCTGTCCTTAAATTAGAATAAGCCTTAAATTAGGAGTAAGAATCCAGAGGCTTTCGAGAATGATGTAAAATTTAGTTGAATGTTAACTTTTTTATTCCAATCTGAATATGTTTAAGGCGCTTCTCGAAGTTTTAAATGTGCCTAGTGTACTTTTTATTCCTTCACATCTCTCGGCGACATTCCCTTTCAACACAGAGTACGCACTCGTCGTCGATGTCGGATATATGGAAACGCTTGCTGTTCCTGTAAGTTAGGTCTTTTCACCGAGACTGCGATTTTTCAGTATTACTTAAACTGGGGCGTGGACTTAGCATAGTTATTCTCTATACAACTGATCTCCTTTGCTCAACAGATTGCCGAAAATGTGACCATGTTGTCTTGTTGGGAACTATCGAACGTTGGGTCGAAGCGATTGGAAGACCGTGTGCGGGAGCTGCTCAAGATACATGGTCGTGTGGACGGTGGTCAAGGGCTTCGTGAGCTCACAGAGGACGACTGGAAAATTATAGAGGTATATCAGCCACAACAGGACAGATCCATTTATTTCATAATTTACTTGTGGCTGGAATTCATGCAGATATTGGAAACAGGCTGCGTTTTGCCCGATGACTATTTTTTCTTCAGGATTCAAATATTGTGGAAGATATATGCGTACGTTTTGTATTTTGCTGTCCCTTTGAGCGTGGTAAGGCTATTCAATTAAATGGTGCATCGCATGGTTTGCCTCCTGTGAAATCTGTGAAAGTGCCTCTTAATGCTGAATTCCTCGTAATTCCCGGATTTGTACGGTCAGTGGTTGATATTTTGTTCGTCACTAAGTTCAAATCTGTGAATTTTAGAGAAGCTGCATGTGAAGTTTTTTTCGAACGTGGCAACGAAGATGCCTCTGTGGCACAAATGGTTCACTCATTAGTTGACAGGGTAAGTGTTCCCATTACATCCTTAGAATCTGATTTGTACTGACTTGTCCTATCGTTTCGAAAGGGTTCGTTGCAAACTTATGAAAAGGGGTAAATTAAAAATTTTGGGATGGCACCTAAAGGCTGCTTCGGAAATCTTCGCCAGGACATTCGTAGATACTTTTTCTTGCTTTCAGTGCCCAATAGACTTGCGCAAACGAATGTTTGAGAGCATCCTTCTACTTGGCGGCACGACTCTTATTCCTGGATTCCTTAGCCGTTTGAAGGTATGCTTCGAATAGTCATGTAATTTGATTGAAGTTTATTATGTGTAGGTATCCAATTTTCGCTAGTTCAATTGAGAAAAATTCATCCTTAAACTAACTTTGGAGTTGAGGAAAGTTACTGGAAAGAATGGACCCCAGTTGCATATAGGTATTGTTAGTGGCAGTATCCGCATCCTAGCCTTTTGCCCTGTTCTCTTACTAAGATATTCTGAGGAAATGAAACCACAATAGTTTCAGAAGCTTCCAACTGCATTAGAACCTTTTAGCAAGAAACACTTATCAACGTCATCTACTTTCAGGAAGAAATAGCCGACATTGCGAAGACAAGTCCAAGTAAAATGAAGCAGTGTGAATCTATCCGTTTCTACCGATTCCCGAATCAGTCTGTTGAACTCTACTTGGGATGGCTTGGAGGTAATGTTTGTTAAAGTGGCGATGATCTGGCTCTTGTTCTGTACTTTAATGGGTCCTTTTCATGGTTGTCATCTTTCAACTTCTGTTGTCGGGGTCATTTAAGAATATTTAGTTTGGGTGTTCGAAATAGTTCTTTTAAGGCAGTATGTTTGGCTCTTTGCAAGATGCTGTACGATTACGTTCGATATCAAGGGAGACATGGATGGAGGAGCATATCTTGCCTGACTGGACGGACTATGTCCAGCATGGAATTCCTTGTGGAAAACCCGAGCTTGATCGGTGACCGAAGAGATGATAATTTCAAACGTGTCGCAAATATCGATCTTGGTGCAGTAACTGTAATGTCACGTGGTGTGACAGAGATTTGGTTTAATAAGTCATAAGAATAAATTAAGAAATTAGATCAACTGTATGGTTAGACAATAGAGCACAATTTGACGTCCAAGTTTTTCTCTGAATTCTGTAAGTTTTATCTTCTTAATGTACTATATGTTCAAAAAAAAACTCTAGGAAGGAATGATACTATTTAATAAATCGGAGCTCAGTTCAGCATTTTGAGCTATCAGGATATTAGGATTTGAATAACGGGTGGTCATCTATATACTATCGGCCGGTTAGTGTTTTGCCCCCCCCCCCCCTCTCCCAGCTTCACTCAGTTTCTGCTAACCGGTGAGTATTCTAGTAAATTGAATAGATGTCGAAAGATAAAATATTCCTTCTAACTAGAAGCAGTAGCGGGCGGCATGTCAAGTCTACATATACTTGTTTCCTAAGAGTAATACTGTCCAGCATGCAACAAATGAGGAGATTACCATAATCCATCGAGATCAAACAACAACGTCCTACAAATAAACTTCTTTTAAGCCACTATCTTGGAAGGATGAGATCACCACGAAGGAGTGAATTGAAGCCCGTCCGAATCCGAACTCTATTATTAAAAAACTAAGACTCAATGTGGGATCGTACTGCCGTAGCTAGCTAGAAATCCCACATATCTGAAGCATAAAGTCTGGGATAAAGGCTTGGGGCATTAATGAATTCCGTCAGAGAGATGCGCCCACGCATTTGACTTCCATTCAGACTCGTATTGGCGTATTGAAT